ACAAACCTTTGAAAAGGCGTTTTTGGTGTACTATTGATTGGGATTGTATACTATTATATGTTTTATTTAATATTCTCCAATGAATACGTGAGAATAAAATAATTCTTTAGCACACAGTATACATGCATTTAATTATAGAAGTAATAATTTTTTCTAAGTATTATATCTCATAATATGTTAATAAAACAAGTGATGGCATTAATATGGAAATAGCAAACTGGCAATAAAACTGCATAAATGCTATTTTATCGTAAATCATAAAACTATAACATATTTATGCATACATTTCTTGAAATTATAATTCATATGTTTTGTATAAATTCTCATACTTTGCAAGAATTTCTTATTTGAAATGTTTTTATTGTTATTTAATGTTTTATTTTTACTGTATTTCAAAGCGAAAATCTACGTTTGAAGTCAAATGTATACAGCAAATATATTAATTATTCATTCAAAATTATAACATAAAACTTTACAAAAAAGTATTTGATTGATTTTTCTATTAAAATATCAATAAATATAATAATATTCTATAACAGAGTAGTAAATATAGGATTGAATTTTTATTTTAGACTAAAAACTTTATATTCTTATACTGTATTATATCTATAATATAAAATTCTATGTGCAATACATTGCATGTTTGTCAATACCTACCAGTCCCCATGTAATGTCACTATTTAAGTATTGGAAATAAGATTTTAAGAGTTTGTCAAAAATTCCCATCAATTTCTTTTGAATACAACTCAATGTTTGCATAACTATTGAATGATTGGAAAATAGTAGAGAAGACATAGAGATAAAGGATAAGCAAAAAGCAAAGCTATGCTCCACTCAAACAGATATACATATTGAACATTATGTTATGTTCTTATTTGTGGACAGACCTACCATTCCGTGTACTCAGTCGTGAAGTCAATCTACTGGAGAGACTCTTAAAAATAGTTTTTCCGTTATTTTGGATAAAAATACAAATCAAATGATTGGTTTGAATCCGTAGGCTATTAGACTTAAAATTGCAATCATTTTGTAAAACAGTAATAATAATAATAATGATAATAATGTTGAAGTTTTTAAGTGTTTATTTTGATGACAAAGAAATCTAATACCGATACTTACGTTTACAACTAAATCTTTTAAAATTGTATAATTATCAAATTTGTCTTATATAAATGATACTATATTAAATTTTATTTGAAATTAATTATTATTTATAAGTTCATAAAGTTAACAATAACTGTAAATGAACACAATTTTTATATCCAAATCTAATATCGAAAATGTATGATATTTTATGCGATAAACTGATCTTAAAAACTGATAGTAGTGTACAGTATATAAAGTTTTCGCTACATATCTAAAGAAATTTTGGTTTACTTTTGAAAAATTGCAATTCAATGGCAATTTCTAATAGGATTTTGTGGCCATGGCATGAATTCGTATACTTTTATATTATAGTAGATTTTTATTAATATAAATGAATTTTATGTATTATTACGTGAGATATCAATCAATAAATTCTTGTATCAAATTCTGCAAAATTCTTTATCGGCAACGGTTTAAAGCAATTTAATTTATCTCTCATTCTCATCATTAGAAAAAAATGTAGTTTTTATTTGAATTTTTGAATAATTTTCTCGGAGAATATTCCGGAGAAAATTGATTTTACAGTTACTGTTATCAACTTTGAGCCATATTTTCGACGTGTAATAGATATTTATTGTATGGTTTCATATATGGATACATTATATTTTGGAGGATAAGCGGCGTTTTATTGCTCCTGTATTTTGCACACAAGTGTCTGATCTTTTCGGTGCAAATAGGTTTTTGATTCACTTATAGTTTTCCAGACCCCTT